CCAGCCACTCTTGCTGGAACGTTCAGACCTTTCATTGCCTGCATAGGATCTTTCAAGTGGGCAGACCGGTAAACTGCAAGTGTTCCACAGGGAAATAGTGCCTAGCAATTGCCATTATCTTTTTTTTATTTTTAAGAACTACCCATTTCCTTATAAACTGATTGTTCACAATTGTGTGGACAAGGAGAACAAAACTTGAAGACCTGGCTCATTAGGTTTAATGGCTTGGGACTCTGCTTTATAGCTTACTAGAGAGCAACAAATCCCATTCTATTCAGGAGATTTAATTCATGTCTCATTGACTACCTTGGCAAAATCCAAAATTAGCCCTGAAAGGCTAATTTGATTAAAAAATGAATGGACATTACTTCTCTTAGACTAATGACATTAATATTAATGATGGTAATGATGTCTCCCTGTCAGATTACTGTGAAAATGAAATAAGCTAGCTCACATATTCTAGGTGATTTGCAAACTATAAGATGCTAAACAAATGTAGATGATTATCACAAGACTCTGATCCTGTGTTACAAACTCCAGATTCCACTTCCTGTTTCTTCCACTTTCCTTCCCTACCCCTTCCTTAGAAGTATTACCTAGGTACTTAGTTGAGGGAAATCCTCATACTTGGCCTATGATTAACTCACGTTTTCAACTAGCAACCTGATTTAATAAGCATCTTTGGGAATCTACCATTGTGGGTTAATATACAAGATGTTAAAACATGCAGAACAGGCCTACCGTGGTGGTGCAGCGGGTTAAAGCACAACACTAGGAAGCTAAGGCCACTTCAGCATAAGTTTGATCCCCGCCTGCCCCAGAGGTGACCCACATGGCGCAGCAGACTTCTCCTGAACTGCCTGCTGCTCCCCACAGCAGTGTACTTCATCGATCTGCCTGTTCTGCTCCCCTCTGATGAATCTTCTCAGCGCCTCTGCACCTCTCGTCTGTACCCCAGTTCTGTATGCACAAATAAATCTTAAACAAACAAACAAAACATGCATAACAGGCGCTGCTCCATTCCAAAGTGAGGCCATTTATGCACATATTCTAAAATGTCTAGCTGAGAGACAGTCAGACAGTGCTGCTTACAAGGATTCACCCATACAAGGATTGGAGGTAAAGGAGTGTTTATGGAGAAGAGTTGGAGAGGCCTATTGCCACTTCAACCCTAGTAACACAAAGTGGGAGGTTCTACCTATATCCAAGAGATAGGAGTTTCAGAGGGAATACTAGGCTTATACAAGAGTTATGGGATGGGTGTCTGATTACCTCTTAAGAACTTTAAAAGGCAAGTGTTGGAATACCAAGGAATGAGCAAAGGGTCTAAAATGACTGTGTTGGATATCTGGGGTCCCACAGTTTGTCAGTGAAAAGAGTCTTTTCTATGACCCAAGTTTCATCATGATACCAAAGAGCTTGAGGTCCTTCCCAAGTAGACCATCCAGAGCAGTCCCCCATTAAGGGTAATAATGACCATGAGCATCAAGCATATTTAATGCCCACAATGAAATGTCATTTGTGTTTCTGGCTTTGAGGGAGAAAAGTAATTGCCTTTTCTGTGCAGCATGTAGATTGATACAGGCATCACCTCATGGATTTGCACTGTGACGTGTGAAAGGCACCTTTTGGACATGTCTAACAATATGAAAAGAGGTAACTCAAGTGCAAGTCACATAGCTGTGCATTCAGATGATGTCACTTTTTAAAAAATATTCATGCTTTAACTCACTTTGGTGTTCCATATGTCCTATGTGGGAAGATAGCATAGACGTAGAAAAATGAAAGGTTTTAGTGGTAGGCATGGTGTGAAAACATACATTTTGTAGAGATTTGCATCTACAACCTGATAAACAAATGCTGTATACCAACTTTACATCAATAAACATAATCAGGGGGGAAAAAGCTATTGTCGGGGACAGGTTCCTCCCACAACTCAAGTACGTCAAAGGCTGTCTGAGTTCATACTTCTATTGCAAATCAAGTCAAAGGGAGACTCATGGCTCATGTAGAGCCCGGCAGGAGGGAAGTTGGTCTTGGGCACATCCAGAACCAGGAACCCAAATGCCACCAGGCTGCTCCTTCCCCTCCAGCTCAGTGTGCTTAAGTTTCAGCTTCTTTCCTCCAAATGGAGCTCAGCTGGTGGGGTATATGTGCATGTAGGGGAATATGGGGTGTTGCTGCCAGACACATTTGAGGGCTTGGTTACTAGGAATAAGAAATTTTGCTTTTCTCTCATTTCCAGTTTTTAAAAAGGGAAGAAGTAGCCTGACTTACTGTCTAGGTCATCTATCCAACATGTCCAACCAGAAAAGAGCTGTCAAAAGGGCGTGTGTTCAGGGCACAGCCACCCTCTTGACCAGGGAGTCGGCTCTTACCACAGTGGTGACACAAAGGCTGGGCAGGCTATAACGAGACTGCTTCAAAATACAAGCAAACACTACGCATCACTAATGCAGGCATATCTAAGAGATATATTAGACAAAAACAAAAGCATGAACAAATAAAGCCTAGGACAATCGATTGTTATGGACAAATAACTGGCTGTGAGAAGAAAATGCAAAATTCATTTAGGTAAACATTTCATTTGCTCTTTTATGAAGGATAGTATCTTTTCTTGGGGAAGACATAAAGGACAGGAACGTTTTTAGAAACGCTGTTATAAGCTGATTATTTATTCTTGACCATTCCACAAATCTCTGCGGTATTATTCCCATGTTGGGTCATACATGACACTCCCAAGTGAGAAAAAGGACAACCACACCAATCTATATCAATTTGGAACATTTATTGTATTTTTTAATGCCTCTGTAACATCATGACACTCTTTAATCAACAATATAAAGTCATCTACTTAGGTTTGCTACTCAAGATTAGGCACACTCTTAGAATCATAATTTCTTAAAGTAGCAGACTGGAATGATAAGCAAGTAAATTTGAAAGTACAGCTACCACTACCATCAATAACATACATTTTTCCAAATCATAACTCGAGCAGATATATATTACTCTCCTGACCTCACGACTTCCAGAAAGAGTCCTTTTTTTTATCAGTATAAGGAGAGGATGTTTTAGGCCATGCAGCTAGTCAGAAAGACTCTCATATGCAGTATACAATTCACAAAAAAATCTCACTCTTCCATTTAATTCTGTACATAATGCAACACTGTAATTGTACCTGAAGAGAAGATGCATTTCAGTGACAAATGTCACCTAGAAACACATAAATTCCTGTACCCACAATTCCTGACTTATGGACAGCTCATCTTAGGATTTTTTTTTTTACCCTTATAGTGGTGTGAAAATGACACATTCTCAGTAGCAAACATATTTTAAGTCTCTAATTTTGCTCCTTGGGTAGGCTAGTGATATGAAGTACGAGCCTCTCTCATGATGCTGGCTGGGGGCAGTGAGCTGTAGCTCCCCACCAACCACGAGATCACAGGATACAAAACCATATTGGTATTCAAGTTCAGGCTAACATTCACTAAACTGAAAGAGCTATTTACCACTTTATTGTAAAATAGGCTTGTGTTAGATTATTTTGCTCAACTGTCAGCTAACATACATGTTCCGAGCCAGTTTAGAGTAGTAGCTAGGCTAAGTTATAATGTTTGGTAGCTTAGGAGGACTCAACGCATTCCAACCTAAGCTTCTGTCAACATACCATGGGTTTACTGGGATGGAATATCAGTAAATAACTCTTTCAGTTCAGAAAGAGCTGTACTTAGGGCTAGATGAGTGCTCTGTTACATCACACTACACCTACCTCTGTCAGGAAGGACAGCTCACTGGCTTGGCTGCAGAGTGCTTAGGCTTCTCTCCCCTCAAGCCCAGGATGTTTTCTGAGGCAATTCCCCATGTAACCGTTGGGAATGGAGGAACTGCTGTAGAGCAGTTCCTTACAAAACCCAATTCACCATGCTTATTTTCTAACAATTATTTTCTAACTACTCTTCAGATCCTGGCTTTGTTTATCATTATTTCCCCTACCCAGATAAAACTGAGTTAAAAATACATTGTTAAAGGGAGAGAAACACTGTTCCACAGGAGAAGGGATTTGATGTTTAAGAACTTTTTCTGAGCAAAAATAAGTTAGCCTGAAAGGAATCTTTAAAAACAAAACAAAATTTTGCTGTCATTGTGACTATGGATTCATGACAAATTACCCCACAGCAACTCTTTGGCTTGAAAGGAGTTATTGTACAAGCAGCTTACTGGCCTCAATGATTTAGAGAAAGACACTTAAGGATCCTTCTAGGTACATTCCCATACTGCACTGTTTTAAAATGAGAAAATTGATAGATGAGTCATATTTAGACTTTGTTTGTATAATAAACCTTATTCTTTGGCAGAGCACAGATGACTGGGTGGTTGGTTGGATTATAAAGGCAACTTTCTGGTGGGATGTCAGCACCAAGAGACCCTACATCCTTCGGTCCCTCTCCCACGAGCCAGTTATCTCTCTTCAGTCAGACATATTCCTGTGTGCCTTCTGGGGCATGTATTTAGTTACAAAAATTGTGGGCGGAGAAGATATGCTTTAGAGAACAAGATCTCTAATCACAAATCAAGGCTCCAAAAGAAAAGTCAGAGGCATTAAGACAACATTTCTCCTAGTCAAAATTCAAATATATGTTATTGTCCTGAACTAAGGAAGTGTTGCCTCGTGCATATCTGGGTGGAGCTATTTTTCCGCTCATTCTGATTTTCTACATGTCATGAATTAGTTATGAGCAAAAGCACATCAATAAAACTTTTTCTAAGGGCCCATTTTGGTATAAACTGCACATTATTCAGTACACACAGTAGAAGGCAAAGATAAATAGAATGTGAGCACCAATTGCAAAGATAACCATCTTAGCACTTTTAGAACAAATAAAATGATCGTGTCTATTTTTTCTGTTTTTCATTAAAATGTCACAGCACCCTTGGTGGGGGAAAATTATACAGCTATATGAAGCATCAGATGTGAGAAGAAAATTAGTTGAAACCCGCTTGTTAAATATACAGTTATGGTGACTGATGCCCTTTCAGTGAAACCTTACGTGGTTAAAAGGAAAAACAAACAGCCAGGGTCAAATGTCTAGCCCACATTTCAACTTGAGATCTGCTGCATTGGCATGAGTTTTGGTGAAACCTGGTAAAAGAGAGAAAAAAGTAATCAAATTATGAAAAACTTCATGATTCCCCATACTTGAATGATGCAGGCAACAGGGAGCCTCACTTTGGACATTACCTGTAGTCTCATTTCCTATCACTGAGATATTTTTTGAATCACATTAATTTTAATCACTGAGAAGAGAACTCCTTTTCTATTTATATTTTGTACAATCAATAGTTTTCAACCTCCTTGTATTAGAGCTCCTAAATTGAGGATTATTAAGACTGGCATGGGACACAGAAAAAGGGTCCAGGTAACCATACTCCCTACTGACTGGATCACTGCTTAACAAGATTGAAGCCTGTGAGATTTCACTCAAAACAGAGACAGAGTAAGATACAAGATTCAAAAGTCCTCAAAATCCTAAAAAATAGACCCAGTCTATTTTGGTGAGAGACACTAGCTAGTCTCTGGATTAATAGATTATATTAATATAGTAAGGTAGAATCAATGACAAATCTTATCAGAAAGGTCAAAATCAGAATGAAAATGAAAAAAGGGTAGCAAGAAGATTCCAAGCCATCCAAAACGGAGAGAGTAGCACTCTCTAAATGTTAGAACACTAAATGTTGTCCTAACTATGTTCACTAAACACAGCAAAAATATTCCTGGGAGTCTTCAAGTAGAGGAAAATGAGGACAGATCCTCACTCAGTGGTAGGGCTGGTGGAAGGAGAAACCTAAGTCTAAATGGTTGAGATTCATTTTTGACAGATCTTTCAAGGATGATGTCAAGCTACCTATTTCTTCATCCATCTTGACAAATAAGTATTGTAGTAAGTAACAGCCCAGGGAGAGAACAGAGCAGGAAATATTAATTTTAATTAAAAGGATTTTTTTTTAATTTAGGTGATATTTTTGATTCCCTCAAGGAATTAGAAATTGAAATGCCCTTAAGTGATATCTTACTTTCTAGAATAAAGTCAACATTTTGTGAAATCAATCAACAAGTGAATAGAATGAGTGGGTAAGTTTCAAAGTACTACAAAAAGGGTTTCTAATAGATGTAAGTCAGTATTAAAAAACAGAAGGAACAGGAAGTTACTTGGCCTTAGTGAGGTTAAATATTTTTCATTCACTTATAAATCATTTCTGATTAACCCTTCATAATGAACATTTTTCTACTAAAGACTGATGTGACAAGAAAAATAAAATCAGGGTCTCTTTGGTGGTACAGGGATTAAAGGCACTGTTTTAGCAAGTTATCGCCAGCCACTGCAGCACAAGTTTGAACCCAGTAGGCCAGGAAGCTGACCCACATGGTGCAGCAGACCTCTCCTGTCTCACCCACTGCTCTTGTCAGCAGTATATTTCAGCAGATCTCCTTGTTCTGTTCCCCACTCCCTCTGGTGAATCTTTTCACCATCCCCTACCTCTGGCTTACATAGCAGTTCTTGTATGCATAAATAAATAAACCTTTGGGGGAAAAAAAGAAAATCAGTATGGCCTAGCATATAGTTTAGGATAAATGAGGGTTCATCTGCACATGCTAGTTCTAAAAGCAGGTGCATGGTAATATACAAAAATGAGACATATAATTGATGTAAGTCACAGCCCACATTTGCATAGATGGCTTCAATTCTACAGAAAAGAATAAAAGATACACGAGCTCTGAGTATTTAAAAATTGTGTCTCACAGGCAACCTTATTTAAAAAATTAAATAAGGAAATAACTTAATGAAGTAAAGCTCTTCTTTTTTTGAAAACAGATCATTTCTAATAGATGTTTGATAATATCTCCTTTAAAAGGAAACGGGATACCTGAATATTTTAAACTAAACATCTGACCCTTTTCCTCATCATGTCAACACTATTTGACTTCTTAGTATCACTTATACCCTCAGTGTAGAGAACTCACTTTTATCAGAAAAGAAGTTGAACCTTTATGTCCACTGACTGGGCCTGTCTATTTTTGTAATGAAAAAGATCTACTAAATCACTATTTTTCATTCTGTATTCTCAGAGTCTCATCAACAATGTAAGACCACGCAAGCCAAAGCAGATTACCCTGCCACGGTGATCTACAGGTTAAGCTCGAGACTCTGTGATTGAAGCATAAAAGATAAACCCGTGATTTGTCATCACAGACAACTGAAATCCCAAGAGTATACTGCTTAATTCTGTATGATGCCAGTTCATAATAGAAGTTGAGAATATAAATGTATCATTTCACAAAAAATATCTGCAGCTAGCATTTTCAGATTCCACTGTAAACATACACATAAGCAATATTCTTATTGTAAACTTTTTGCCATGGGTAGTATATGTATATTCCTGCCTGGAATATACCTAAAAGCCCAAAAGCCCTTGGGAGTAGAAATTATACCAATCTATTTTATTTTAGCCACATTTAATACCTCAATATAGGACTCACTGTAGGTGTTTAATAAATAATCACAAAGGTCTAACACACAATGTTCAAGCATGAATTAAATTTTAAACGTTTTAATTAAAAGCTGAAACCAGAAAGAAATATCCTGTTTCCAAAAAGGTCCACAGAAATATATGGTAACTTAGGCTTGCAACAGAAAAGAAATGAATAACCAACTAAATTCACTTATTAGTGAAAAAAGATATTTGGGGGCCCTCCCTGGTGGCGCAGCGGGTTAAAGCGCTGCACTAGGAAGCTTAAGTCACTTCCGCATGAGTTCCATCCCCGCCTGCCCTGGAGGTGACCACATGGTGCGGCAGACCTCTCCTGACCCGCCCGCTGCTCCCCTCAGCAGTGTACTTTGTCAGTCGGCCTACTCTGCTTCCCACTCTGTCTCTGGTGGGTCCTCTCACCCTCCGCATCTCTGGCCTGTACCCCAGTTCTATATGAATAAATAAATAAATCTTTAAAATAAAAAAAAGATATTTGGGGACAACAGAGGTTAGCTGGTGGGATGTCACCTTTCCTTTCTCTTTATTGTGGCCCATTATGTAAATGGCAGTGACACATCGAGTGATATAAATATAGCCAAAAATAAAGAAGTTTGACATTTTCCTTTGCTTGTCACAGCTCTCATATAAGGAAATGTGTAAAATCAGTTTGACTCTTTGAAAATGAATTATTACTCGATACATATTTGAGAGACAGATTTTTCAAACTCTGAGGCCATGGGAGAAAAGTAGGCTAAAGGCCTCCTTAGTCTTAAGGATGTAGGGAGGCAGTATAAAAGGACGACAGTTAACCAACCCTGAGCACAGCCATCACGCCTGAGCAGAGGATGGCAAGAACACCTGCTGTTGCCAGCCAGCGGCGCTGGGGGGCGCGCCATCTCCACCTCCCCTGTGGAAGGACACCTACTCCAGAGGCACCTTGGCCCCTCATGTTTCCCTGCATGATTCAACTGATTTGGGCAGAGGAACTGGGGCCTGGGAAATTCAGCCCAACTTGCTTCCACATGGGATCACCCTTCCCGCACGGTGCTCCTGCTCTGTTTTGCTCTCAGCCTGTGGAAGGAGACTCAGAACACAGACAGGAAACCGAGCAGGAGGCCTGTGCTTCCCCTGTAACGCCAAAGCTGGCTGCTGAGGTCTCTACTTCTGGGGTTCTTATCCCGGAGCCCTCTGTGGCTGCACACCTAAGCCCATCCTCTTTCGCCTTCACTAGATCGTAGCCTCTCCTTTGTCTCTCTCAGTAGATTCAGAATTCAGTTCCTAAGAAACATAAGACCTCTTTCCTTACAGCAGTCGTATACTGGAAGAGAGTAAACATGAGAAACAGGTCTCTGTGCATTAGGGGTTGGCCTTTCTTGCTGTGAACTATCCCTGACCCAAAATCTTATTTTGGAAATGTGCTGAAGGTTCAGAAATATAGTTACTATTTGCATTTCTATGACAAAATGTCCACAGCCTCCTTTGGCGTACCAGGCGTAAATGACTCTTAAGAGACTTTACTATTAAATTGAATGGGAAAGTTCTGCTGCCACACTGCCACAGAATCAGGACAATAATTCATTACAATTTTCTTGCTTTTAAATTTTTGTTAAGTTTCAGGTTATGTTTAAAGGACACATTTTTTTCCCCACATATTTTTGTTGCTAAATGTAATGTGCTATGTAGGAGAGTTTTAGCAATTAAAAATGCCCAAATAGTAATAAAAAAAATGCCCAAATAATGTCAACAAAACCATTATTTCTGTTTCTACAAAGAGAAAAAGCCAAAAAGAAGTTTAATAACACCCTGTATACTGTTGGGATACCTGGGAGAGACCCTTGTAAGACTAAGCAGCTCCTCCAAGTAGCTTCAGTTACCATCTAAAACCACCTCAGTTTAAACAATGGGCATGGGCAGTGGGTAGAAAGAAAGGAAAGGTCATTTATGGGAGGTGTCCAGAGATGACACAGTAAACACAAAAGTATGTTATTATGCCTTTCTCCTCAAAAACAAAGAGAATAAATAGGTCTTCCCAAAACAATGAGGGGGACACTCTTATAAAGTTTTCCTTTTGTGCAAGTGAATGACTTTTGCAAAATAACTATTTTTTAAGAGGTTTTTTTTTTAAAGGTATATATATTTATGCATACAGAACTGGGGTACAGGCCAGAGGTGCAGGGGCGGTGAGAAGATTCACCAGAGACAGAGTGGGGAGCAGAACAGGCTGACTGACGAAGCACACTGCTGAGGGGAGCAGCAGGCAGGTCAGGAGAGGTCTGCCACGCCATGTAGGTCACCTCTGGGGTGTGGATCAAATTCATGCTGAAGTGGCTTTAGCTTCTCAGTGCTACCAAGGAGGGCCACAAAAAACTATTTTTTAAAAAGTACCCTGAAACCACAATTTTGTCATGTCCTATTACCTGATACTATCATGGTTTAACTTTTTGTCTTTGAAATGGCCAATATTCTTCCAGTCGGTTTATATCCATAGTTTGCCCATTCATTGACCATAAGCTTGGGCACATAGGATTTTCACTAAGACATTTTCACAATTATCTTGACCTAGAGCTTCATTTTCTTTTGTTCGCCATGCAAGAATCCTTCTAGAATATTCATTGCCAAGTATATGTTCAAGATTGGGTTACTTTTCTCAAGTTGAAATCTTGAATAACTAGTACAGAGTTCCATAGATTAAAATGCTACTTATCCAGAAATAATAACATGGGATGTTTTCTGAATTATGAAATGAGACACACTCCTTAAGGCAAATACATTTCAAAATATACCTCATTGATAACCCAGTTATTAAGCAGAGCACTCCAGACCTAACCCTACAGAGAAACAACTTGCTCTATGTAATTTCATCTATAAGAGTGTAATGAGATGCCACTGAACATCAGTTCCTCAAAAGCTAGGTCTTCTGTCATGATGGTTCAACTGATATCATTTTCAGGACAACATTGACGTACAAGTTAACATTTCATCTCAACAGCCTAATTTGAAGGAAATAAAATTACATGTCAGTGTCAAAAAAAAGAGAGAGAGAGAGAGAGAGAGAGAGAAGGAGATGGTACTATAATAAAAGAAAACCCATAGAGATATTTTTCAATGTATTTAGATATGCAAATTAGCACTTTAAAAAAAAAATCCACCTTTTGGGAAGCCCACGGGGATTACAACTGAGATGGGAAAAGGCACAAAATGGTGTAAAAATAAACTACTATAATATTTTTTAAAAATCCACCTTTTCCATTCCTGAGCTTCTATGAATAAAAAAAAAAGTAGATATCAATGAGATCTTCCTTTTCATTCTCTTTTGCAGCAGAGAACTGAATATTCTGAGGACCTCAGAAATGCTACCGCAATAAGGTAAATAAATAACAAAGAGTTGACTACATAAGAACTGTTTACTTTTATCACTGCTGTGAGAAATTCTAAATAGTTAAAGTATAAACAAATCCTACTTTTTTCTCTGAGGTTATTGAAAAGCTAATTAAAGATGTGCTTTTCTCACAAAGTGTTGCTGGCAAACTTCTTTTTTCCAAAGGGAAATTCAAGAAGGTTAATAGACAAAGACCTTCTTCATACAGTAAGAAACAGTTACATGTGGACAATGAATTATGCAACCAAATTATTTTTACAGAAACTTGCTCTGCATTGATAGGTACCTGCTAAGCAGGTAGAACCTAAGGAAGAATGTATGAAATTTATGTGTGATGTATCAAAGCTGCTTTATGAAATTACTTTCTCCAGGATGGATAGCTACAAAATTTCTTCTCAGCATAAATTATTCCTCTTCTTATTTCATTTTAACTAGTAGATCTTTTCTTAAAAAGTTATATAAGAAGCAATTCTTTTTTTATTTCTTCAGAGATACTATCTCTACTTTGATTCACTTCAAGTAGAATGAGCCATCTTCTTAACCCCCATTATATAGTTTACCAATGATTTGTTAAAGAGCAATTATTTATATGACAGTATTAGCTTCTTTGTTTTAATGAGCTAAAAGGATTTGGGAATTTCTTAAATGGATACTCCTGTGATGTACTTATTCACTTGTAAATCTGAATTTTTATGCACAAAGTTTTTTCTCTAGCTGCAGGACACACCTATTTTGAGACTATAAACCTGGTGGGATCAGAAAGCCAATATCCTAATATGTTTAACGTATGAAATTATCAGGCACAGAAGTTAATCCAAGAGAAATTCTTAAGTCATCTCCATTAGATGCATTTAAAAGTAGTATTACTGGCCCTCCTGGTAGTGCAATGGGTTAAAGTGCAGCACTATGAAGCTCTAGCAGCCATAGCAGCACAAGCTGGATCCCCCGCCAGGGAGGTGACCCATGTGGTGAGGCAGACCTCTTCTGACCCTCCCACTGCTCCCCTCAGCAGTGTATTTCAGGCAATCTGTCTGTTCTGCTCCCCGCTCTGTGTCTGGTGAATCCTCTCAGCCCCCTGCATCTCTGGCCTGTTACCTAGTTCTGTATGCATAATTAATAAAAATATTTTAAGATAAATAAAAGAAGTATTATTTCTCCATGTATAGCACATTTCATAGTAAATCCACTTGAATCATGGCTGGCAGGAAATCCCAGAGGATTTCAAGGGACTTCACAGAGTTAACTCAGGGTTCAAGTTCAACCCTGTTTCCAGCAGCTCCTAGTGGTTCCTCCCCCTCCTGCTTCTGATTCTGGAGCCAAACACCGGCCTGTGAGTCAGAGCCCCAACTCCTGCTCCCCCACCTGCTTTCATCTGGGGGCACCCTCCCTTCCACTCCTGTTCTCAGCAAAGGTCAACTCCAAAAATGATCACAAATTAATGGTTCATGTCCTGTAAACACCCATTAATCAAGCCCCTGATATAGGACAAGTGGCTGGATTTGTTCGCAGAAACACTTACAGCAAAATCACACCCCGTGCTCTTCTTGATGTCATCCACCGTCAGACCTTCCCAGAGTTCAATCAGAGTCAGCCCCTTCTTGCTGTCCACGTCAAACACAGCCTGTCAGAGTGAAAATAATAACAATGACAATTTCTACCACAGTAATTATTTTATAACACAAAACAGAAATAACCTATCAAGTTCTAAAAAACAGACAGGACCCAGGACAAAAGATTCTGAAAATCAGCAATGAAAAAATGTCAACTGTAACTCTTACATTTGGGTGAGAATAAATGCCAACTCCCTCACCAGCCAATGGACGTAGAGCACTACTGAGGCCAGAAAAGAAACGTGTCAACTACTGATGGTACTTGCTACCACAGTAATCATTTTGGTTTAACTACTTTTGTGAAGTGTAACACTTTTCGCAAAAGGTCACTTAGTTAATAGTGATTTGGGGGAAAGAAGGGAGGAAAAAAAGGAAGGAGGAGGTAGCTGGAAGGTGAAAGAACAGAGATAATGGGAGGAAAAGTAGGTCAATGCTGCTGGATAAAAAATTACAGGAACCCAGAGGAGCTCTGAAGTGATTACAAGTCATTAAAAAAGGCCACCTGTCCTGGCCCCGAAAGACTCTCAGTGCAAACTTTCCCTTCAAGTCTTCTGAAAACAAACAGGTCCACAAGGAGAGCGTGACACTGTCCCTCCCAGGCACATCAAATAAGATGTCTGGGTGCAGGACAAGGGTGAGGTGGCTGCATGGCCTCCACAGTCCAGCATGACACTCTCAATAGCACCGTGGTGCCGTGCCCACAGGGAGAGCCTGACCTTATCAGATGGCTGCAACCTCCTGTATGGGACTCAGAACACGAAACTTCACACTGAGAAATGTGACAACTTGAGTAGACCATGCCAGCAGTCATTTAATATGATTTTCAATACAAGGATACTTCAAAACATTTGCAGACGGTCACTGGGATTCTGCTCTGAAACTACCAGTGGGAGGAGGAAGAATACTTGACTTAAGGCAGATTGTCTGCAGGTGTGAAGTTGCACCCCTAAGAGCCCAAATTGCTTCCCTCTGGCCCAACCCCATTGGTGTTGTTGGTTGTCCCCTAGGATGCATGCACTGTACCTTCTCTGGCTTAAGTGTCTCCCAAATCTCCCTTCTGCACTGGACTGATTGTAACTACTACTTGCCAGATCAAGAACTACCTAGGAAGCCAAACCCTATCTTATGATCGTTAAACACACTTCCATAGCAAATTGTACTGGAAAGAACCCTGGGTTCTGAGCAGGACAGAATTCCAGCTTCACCACACACTAACCATGTAAACGCTAGTGAAAGTGTCTTTTCACAAACACTTCCCGGGGTTGTTAAACAGGGCAAACACATTAACACGTGTACTTGGGTCACCCACCAGCTGGCCTGTAACTCAGCAGGGATCCCAAACAACTGTGCTCTTTTTCTCGTTAATGGTTTAAATTATTGTCACATATATGTGAATGCAAAGCAAACCCCTGAAATGGTTCTTGTCTACAGCTGATTGATATTTTCCCCCAAGAACCAGTTATTAAAGTGACTCATGATACTTGCATTCTCAGTTTAATGAAATCACAGTTATCCCAGTTGGTTTTACTAGGGAAGATATAAATTTAGGAGGCAATATTTTAGCAAAGTTTCATTTTATTTACACATTTTTATGTTCCTAATTTTTTTTTTGGCAGAAATATGTGTTTTGAGAAGGGAAAGATGGTTATCAGGTCTGCATGTTGCATCAGAAATTTTTAATTCCAAAATGACAATTGAAAAAAATAGTAATGAATACTTTTCCTTTGCAAGAAATGTACTAGAATGATTTATACTGATGTTTCCCATAGATCATGAACAAATAAAATGAGACTCTCAGTCATGTTATTAAGAATAGGCAGAGAAGGGATTTGGGGGAAAGAGAACTATGGCATCATGAACATAAGACTCTGGTGATCAGAGAAGTAAAACCTTGGCAAATTCACTTATTCCTTAAAAAACAAAACAAACAAACAAAAAAAAAACAGGTCCTTCCTGGTGGTGCAGCAGGTTAAGGCACAGCACTAAGAAGCTAAAGCCACTTAGGCATAAGTTCGATCCCCACCCCAGACGTGATCCACATGGTGCAGCAGACCTCTCCTAACCCACCCGCTGCTCCCCTCAACAGTGTACTTCATCAGTCTGCCTGTTCTGCTCCCTACTCTGTCTCTGGTGAATCCTCTCACCACCCCTGTACCTATGGCCTGTACCCTAGTTCTGTAAGCATAAATAAATAAAACTTAAAAAAAAAAAAGCAAAAAAACACCTTTATCAAATGCTAGTAAACTCTCAAGGTCATATATTGAAAGTCAAATATCTTATTAATAAGATGAAAATTTATCTTTGATATATATGGAAGATTTCCATTTAATGTTAGAAAACATAAAGACTTGATAAAAATGGAAAGTAAAACCTAAAAGCTACAAACAATTGTTCAAATACAAGACTAACAACTACTTTGGTTTACAGATGAGTAAGTTACTTTACTATAACCATAAAAAGTTACATTATAGATTAAGCAGTTAACCACAGCCCAGGAGCTGGTGAGGAAGCCATCATTCATAACTTCATTCTAGCAACACAAAACTAGGAAGTCAGAGTGATGTTTCCAAAGCCTCTTTCAAATGACAACTAGTGGGATTTTACCTACTAGTGAACTGAAAAGGAATTCTAGTCCGTGTCAACTATGCCAGGATTGTATACATTGGTTGCCCTTTAAACCACTGCAACTTCATTCATTCTCTCAACAGATATTCACTGAACACTCACTAATACTGAGCACAGGGATAAATATACTCCACTCCTTTCCCTGAGGGACCCAAAGTTCTGTGTGAAGCTGCCTCCCTATCAGTTTACTCAATTTTGCTAGTGTCATCTTCAGCTAAGTTTCAATTATCCCCATATGCTAGTGACTTCTACAAGTCTGTTCTAATACTGGATTCTTATCTGAAATCCAGATTCATGTCTCCAATTATTTACTGGAAGTCCCCAGCTGGATGTGCAGCTAACTAAAGAAACTCTTACCAGTATGTCCCAACTGAATCTATTCTTTCCCTCCTCTCAATGTTCCTTATGGTGTCTGCCTTAAGCCCAGGCTTCATTAAGATTTCAACAAGGCGACCTTCCCCTCGAGTCAGAAAAGTCAGGACTCACCTCTGCCTTTCTCAATGTTCCGGTCCTGTGATTCTGAACCCTGACTTTTCTTTCCAGATGACTGAAGGAGTTTCTAACTCACTGTCTCACCTCTCCTCCTCCTACCCTAGTACTTTCTTTACAACCTAAATCTAATTAACTGTGTTCCCAGCTACTTCAAATCATTGCAGGGCTCCACACTGCCCTCCAGATGAGATCCAAGTTTCTTAATAACGTATTCGCCCTCCATAACTTGGCCCCTCAAAATCTTTTCATCCTTGGCCCTGAGGTTGTACCCTCACTCAGCATGGTTCTACCTACTGCTCTCTGAGTAGCCTGAATAGTCTGTCCTTTCATCTGTTTGCTCTTCTTTACAAATCTCATTTGTGGGATTCCACTTAAATAGTCCAAGGGGAAGGCACCATTTGGGACAGAATGTTCCTTAATATGGCTTCTGAAAAGTATCGCGAGCTCCCTAAACTATTTCAAGGTAGGTTAGGGTGCTTTTGGATGTAGTCTTACTGCTCTTCAGTGAGATAGTGAATGCCCTAAAATAACTGCGATGGCCCTTAGCAAAAAGGACAAAATCATTGAGAGAAAAAATCTCAACCATTCAACCTTCGTAGAGATAATTCTGTCTTGTGGTTTGTCAAAATTCAGAATACTGAATCGTGTAAATAATACGACCCTATCTCACTTATAAGAATCATGTCAATCCACATTCTAGGTTTGAATCTGTCTGAAAGGTGACAGTCAGAAATACTGATCTCAAGTTGTATCAATGTCCAACATTCCCATTTAAGAAGAAGAAAGCTAGAGAAGCACTGAAGTGACCAGAGTGCTCTGAAATCCACTTTATAAAGAGGAAAGCTTGTAAGACCAGAGACTAGATCTCTTGGTTCACTGTGAAACCCAGGCTGTTATTTGCACCCACCTGGTTAAAACTCACTTTGGACTGAGTTCCCTAAAAAGAAATCCAACAATATATGTTTATGACTTGAGAAAAAAAAGAACATAGTTAGGAAGGACAAATATATTAACTGTGTATCCATCATCCAACTTAGGCAACTCACTAATCCAAACATAAGGACCCATAAAACTTTTGATTATATCGCACTTGTCAAAGCTATCAAGGGCAGCAGCTCAGCTGTGTGTGTTTGGGTACATTTCCAAATAGGTGCATGTTAAGAATCCTACATTTAGTACAACTAAATGACTGAATTTTCCTATTCAGGATACCCATATTTTTAATTAATTTTAGGGCTATCAACATAATACACTTTCAAAAATAAACAATTCATATAAATATAAAAGGTGGTGGCAGACAGTAGCGGAAATGAGGCACTTTACCTTTTCAGTGATGATGCGGTCGACGCAGTGCTTCCCAGTCAGAGGTAATGTGCACTTCTCCATGATTTTATGAGCATTTCCCTATTTAAAAGGAAAAAAAAATCAATTTGTATCTAGAATTGGTAGAACTACAGGACAAACAGGAACTATCAGAGAAAATATATCCCAAGGACAGACTGTTTTTCAGTCTTTGCACAGTTATGTTTTCACTTTCTTTCTAGAAACAGTTTCTGTTCCATAAATTTTGATTTGGAGAGACTGTCAAAAGAATAGTTTAAGGCACGGAGAAGTTAGTTGGGATACCCAATATGACCTCTCAAGTCTTAAATCTGATACTGTGTGATGAGAAATTTCACATTAGTATCCTGCTTATTTTTCTCTTCCAGAAAATAGCTCCTTGGACAAACCTGAGCTACCATTTCCCATGATAGGAAGTGTAGACTGAACACACAAGCATAATATCCCCTTTCCACAAAAATCAATTTCACTTGAATGAATGAATGGGAAGAGAAATCTTATATGGATTCCCAAAGAAAAACAAATTCTATACCTTTAATTTCTTTAAAAGTGGTGCTAACTACATACAAAGTGAATAGACATTAGACCTTTAGTAACCAGTTACAGGTTTCTAGATCTTCATAAGAAAGTGTATACCTACAGAAATAATACCTTTACCTTTAATGATGTGTTTTTCTTTCCAGAATTCAAAGATAGCTTGTGTGTCACTGAAGCTTAATTAAAGAGCTGAATTTAATGATGAAAATTCAAACTTTTACAGTTGCCGGGTCTCTTTGCATTGACTATAACTCAAACAAGGCATGTCACAAGAAATGCCGAACAAAGTGAATGCTCTGTGGGCTTCTGGAGAACATTTTCTGCAGGGAACCCCTACTTGCCTCTCATTTTTTAATAAGAACATTATCTTGCTTGAAAGCAGTTACATGAATTTTACAAACAACTTCATTTTAGGAATCATAAATTTCAATGGGCAGAATTAACTGTGTCCTACCAGTAGAGACCTTTCATAGACCCCTTCCACAGAGAATATAACCCAGGGCTTCAGCGCATGGGCTAGAGCCCAAGGACCTGGCTGTGAAGGCTGGCCAGTGCTAGCTGTGCAGTTGTCCTGTACCTGAGTCTCCCAACCACCTGTCGCCTATGCTTCATGTAAAGCTTCAATGAACTTTAAGCATCTAGTGTTTAGCAAGTGCTCAGTAAATGTTAGCGAGCGGTATACAAACTTTATATAACTTTTCTACAATGTGCCAGGATTTCTTTAGGTGCTCATAAGTTCCTATATCAAGTGGACATACAAGGACACAGAAAATGATCTAAATACAAGTCCTAAGACCCACCAAGCTAATAACACAACACCCGTTTGGGGGCAAACCATTTGGTTGATCTGGGAACTGGCACTAAGTGTGCCCCTGCAGTGAGAAAAATGTAGCTAGATGACTCTGTTCACATGTAGTTCTAAAAACTAACACAGACCAAGAAAAGTGAAAAAGGAGATGCAGAAAGATTAAAGAATGTCACAATCTCAATATTCAACAATAGGTTTGCTGTGAAGCCGAAATATGACTAACTCCCTCTTTAGTGCTCTGTGCTAACCATGCCTGGCTGAGTCTTACAATGTGGCGTGGCAGCTGCATAGATTAATGATTCACAAAGGAGAAACAATTGCTGAGGTTCTTGCATTTAAAAATAAACCCAAATAGAGAAATGCAGAGTAGTTTGGTAGCAAGGAACACTCTCTACATTAAGTGCCCAAAAACCTAGTTTTTCATCTTAATTCTGTGATTTAATAGTCATTTGGTCCCTTGAATTAATTCTTTGTGCTGAAGATTTCTCTTGAGTCCACTGTCTTGATTCCCCTTACTTGACCATAATAGGAATCAAATGAAATGTCTTGAAAGTACAATAAACTTAGAGAGGTTGCATCTATGTGCAAACACCTAGGGCTAGTGAAGTCTTGTTCATTTTTATCAATCTACATCTTTCTTTTAAGAAAAATCAAGAAAGGCAGAGAAATGAATACAAAGAATAGCTGTAAAAATTCTCTGCTTTGACTTTCTTGAGGACTCCTAATTTCAATATACCCTTATTTGCTAATTTCATTATAACCTTGTTGAACACTTAAATCTCTCCTGTACCTTTTCCCCCATTTTTCCTCTTTCTCCCCCCTTCATCACTATAGTTTATTAGTTGAAGGAATAGGAACCCACCAGCTTCTTGATTGACTTAAGGCCTTAGTACTTTCCTTCACTTGTTTAATGGTGATCACCCTTTAATTGTTTGGATAGCTGTATGAAACCCTGTGTTTGCCAACTCTTTTAATAAGTCTTTTTTTTTTTTACATTTTGGGTTTTTTT